ACCAAGCTGTGCTTGCTTTGCAAATAAGAATGTTGATATATCATGTACATTAGTGTTATTTACCCTGTGTTTATCTTGACTGTGTCCTTATGGAATTCTTTTTTCTCTCATGTTTTCCCAGCGGTATATCGGTGCTCAGCCAGTGGAGAATGGGTCAATGAAGGGATGGGAACAAAGCTACCAAAATGTGTCCCAGGTACTACCAAATACTCTACGTGCATGCAGCATATGAAGAACACTGCTTCTTTCACCTCTGTATTTTTCTTTTCTTAACTTCTAGCTGATAGAGAGAATTTTAAACCCTGTGTACTGCTCAGTTTACCCTCATAGAAGAGGCAGCATGACTTGCCCTAGCTGTACATGATGCCTGTTCACCCCTTCAAAGCCCCAGATCCTCACTGGCAAAGTATAAGATCCAGGTGGAGGAGATTCAACTCTCTTAAAAGTCCAGTCACAGCTTAGACAGTGGTTTGGATTATACAAGTACACAGTAAGAAAGGCAAACTGAAAGATAAAGCTCAGGGAATTTACTACCCAAGAGGAGGCAACAAAGAACATGAAGCAAAATTCTTCTCAGTGGGACACAGCAATAAAAGGCAATGACAGGCTCAGGTTGCAATAAAGAAAATTCTGATTGTATCTAAGGAAAAATGCTCCCCCAGAGCACTGGAACTGCTGTCCAGAGAGGCTGGCTAATCACTACCCTGGGAGATGAGCAGAAGTTACCTGTCAAAGCCCCTGAGTAGCCTGGCTCTGGAGTTAGAAGGCAGGGGGAGGGCAGTTAGGCAGGAATAGGTTGAGCTAAATGCACTGAGAAGTACCTTCCAGCATAAATCTTCCCATGATTATGTGAAATTCTTTAACAAATTCTGCTTCATGCAAATTAGAAGCTATCTGCTGGCTATAGTTCCTTAATCTGTGATTTTCTGACTAAGGACTCAATGCAAACAAGACAGTATGATAAGAAATCAGCTTCCTAGCAATGTCAGAATGGCCAGTCTTATTTATATCCTTATTATTAACATTCTCCAAAATGTTACTGAGCATCTTGCTCAAAAAAGCATAGAACATCTTTGCACTCAGAAGACCCCCAGATAAGATCCCCTACTGCTTAAGATTTTACATACTTATAGAATGGAGAGGCAAAATGGTAAAACATCAGTGACAAACCTGAACCCTTAACCTGAGAGTATCTGGAGTTCACAGAAAGCAAAACCAAAATGAAAACAAATCAAACAAAAAAAGACAACAAAAAACTACCACCACCACCACCAAAAAACCCCAACCATATGAAAAAGATATATATTTAAAGAGCAGTGTCATATTTATAAGAAGTAAGTATTTTTTCAAAGACTTCATCTAAAGAGCATAATTCAGCAAAGAAAAAAACCTAGAAGGTGAATAAATTGCGAGCTTTGATATACCTAACACTGTCAAGGTGACAGCTGCTTTCCAGAAAACTGAATTTGAGAATGATCATTTTAAATCTAAATTGAGTGCTGATGGTATTTCTTCTAGAATTTTCTTTGATTTCTCTGTAAATAGTATTTGCAAGGTCTGTGGCATAAAATATAAACATGGTTACTCAGATTCCAAAGTTATTTAGAGGACACAGGAAGGAGGGGACTGTGGGCTTTTTAGCAGTACTAAAGAACCCCCAGTTTGTAACTGCCAATTCTCCCATCTTGTCTTTCTCCCGTTTTTCTTTCTCTTCTTTCTAGTCTGTGGGGTGCCTAGCAATCCCATCCGAGACACAGGGAGGATTTTCGGAGGCACCCGTGCAGAAAAGGGGAACTTTCCGTGGCAGGTGTATTTCAATAACCCCAGAGCCAGTGGAGTGCTCATCTCTGACAGATGGGTGATGACTGCAGCTCACGTGCTGGAGGGGTACGACAAGCCCACCATGTATGCTGGGGTAATCAATGTTCGTAGAGATTTCCTGACGCAGGAAGCTGAAAAGCTTATCCCAGAAGCTTCTTTCATCCATCCTGGTTGGAAGGAGGAGCCTGCAGAAAGCAGGGTCGATTTTGATAATGATATTGCGCTGCTGAAGCTGAGGAATCCCGTGAAGATGGGTCCAGACATCTCACCCATCTGCCTTCCTGGTAAATCTCCTGAATATGAGCTGGAAGAAGGGACTCTGGGCTACATTGCTGGATGGGGCAGGAAGGAGAAAGGAAAGCTCCCTGCTGATCTTTTGAAGGCCCAGATTCCCGTGGTGAGCATGGACAAGTGCCGGTCTGTGAAACCAGACGGCTTCGATGGCTCCGTCGTTTATGTATTCACGGACAATATGATCTGTGCTGGCGGTGGCAAGGACAGCTGCCAGGGGGACAGTGGTGGGGCCTATGCCATCCAGGACCCTCTGAATGCCACCCGGTACTACGTGGCGGGGCTCATCTCCTGGGGGCCAAAGTGTGGCACCTTTGGCCTCTACACCAACGTGGTGCGGTACCTGGACTGGATCACAGAGACCATGCGCCAGCACGAGGGCGAGGAAGCCTGGCAGGAATAGCTGCTGGTCCTCTCAGCACCGTCGCCCTTTCCAAATGTGAGGGCTGCATGTCTGGGCTGGCTGCGACGCTGTGCACTCTGTGTATCCAATGGGCAATATGTAACACATTGTAACTCATCCTGTCTAGGCTGAGCGGAGAGCCAGGGGTATGGACCTGCTTCTCCCACCGTCATCACGTCTGGAAAGGGAAATTCTCCTTCTTCCACTCATAGTAGTGTAAAAAGAAGACATTATACTGAATAAAAGAGACTTCTGCTTCCTTTCGTTTTTTTCTGTCCTATTTTTTCTCACTTGGAAAAGACCTAGCTGTGCCCCATTGAAACCTGACAAGGAGGTTTCAATGAACACAAGAGAGAATAATGGTTGGTTCCCATGGAAGGTTCAGAGCCTGGTTTCTGATTTATATAATTTCCTGACCTGTTCAGAATATCTAACAGCATTAAAGAATGTCCAAACTGCCTTTTGTGCAATGTGCTATTGTGTCTGTAATGCCTTTCTTCTTCTCAGTCTAGACCTGGTTCTCCTTGAAACTCCCTAAATCAAATGTCTAATCATATTCTGACACTGCTAGCTTTCATCAAGCTCGAACTTGTAGTACCTCACTCTCTACCACAGTCTTTATAAAATTCTTCTGAGGTGGTTTCATCTCACTCATCAACCATTACCAGCAATGAGGATTCAGACTTCTGAATTAAGCTGCAGAGAACAAACATTCAAAAGAATTTCATTCACCTGTTCTCAGGCTTTTTAAAATTTTCTTTTTTAATTTAGAAAATAAATAAAGCTTGATTTTTCTCCCAAAACACTGCATTCTCTTGATTTAGGGAACAAATATTTCCTGACATGTGTTGGAGGTATTTTCTGCTCTGAAAAGTCCTATATCATTCACAGACTCCTTCTACTGAGCTGATCACGGACCTGGTACAGATGGCACATACTGAAAGACTGGGTTTGTTCAGCTTGAGGAGGAGAAAGCTAAGAGGGATTATCTAACTGCTGTATTCAGATACTTTAATTTCCAGCTAGGCTTTTTCCTAGCATGTGAGTCAGCACTGGAAAGGTGCCACAAACAGTCCCCAGATCGCAAAAATTTTCCCTGAAGCTCTGAAGTTAGGCCCACTGTCAGCAGTGGAGTGAACAGAGACATCTTCTTCCCGCCTAAGTTTTCATAGGAGTTTAAGAAATGGTGAGGAGGATGTGTACAGCTCTTGGGAGATTTCATATGGAATACTGCACCCAGCTGAAGCGTCCTGGATTGCCAAGCAAATTGTATTCTATTTGCCATCTGTGTGGCAGTGGCCTTCTGTTCAGTGGGCAGTTTTCTCTTCCACACCCAATCCTCTCTCAGGGGAGACATCTGCTGATAATTGCTATTGGTTGTTACTGCATGACTGATAAGAACTACAGCATCCCATTGTGAGATGCTCTGCCTGGAGGGAGGAGCCAAGCATTCCTACCCAGATATAATCCTGAGATTCTGGAACACCAGCACAGCTTCTCCACTGGATTTCCCAGAGGAACAGCTGCCTCTTCCACTGGATCTTCAGAGGAAGACTACATCCTTTCTACAGGATCCCTGCTCCAACAGAACCACACCTGACACTCCAGGAGAGCTGCAGCCACAATCCCAATGGGACTGCTACCAGCACCCTGACCAAGAGAGTGTCAGGTTGTGTTCTGACTCTGTCAGTGTTGTTTTAGTTTACTGCATTGTTTATTTCATCTTTTTATTTTCTTCCCTAGTAAAGAATTGTTATTCTGCTCCCATATTTTTTGCCTGAGAGCCCCTAAATTTAAAATTTTATAGCAACTCGGAGGGAGGGGGTTTACACTTTCCATTTTAGAGGAGCTCCTGCCTTCCTTAGTAGACACCTGTCTTTAAACCAAGACATAAAGCACCTTCAGTTTTGTGTAACAAGAAAAACATTATTGGATTGTTGGACTAGTAACCAGGTATCTTATAACTTGTTTCTCTCAGTGACTCATAAGAACACAGTAGGGTATTTTGCAGTAGAAAAGCTAGTTAAGAAGACAGATCCAGAGAATACCCACAACACAAGAGAAGTTGGCTTTTCTCTGAGTAAGCATCATTTTAGAGATGCTGTCCTGCAGCTATGGCATTATTTCATATAGTATAAAAAAAAAACAACTCCATCCTCAACTTCTGATCAGCAAAGTTTCCTGAGCTCCCTTCTCCATGAGATTGGTTGTTGCCTTCCCTGGTTTTGGAATGTGGCATCACACAGGCAAATTATTTTTGCCTCCCTTGAAGCCACCTGGGATTTCAGGCCGTGTAATCTAATGATAGTTTTGGGACAGATAAGCAGCTGCCATATGCCATTGCAGAACTGGAAACACTTTAGTGGTAGGTAAAGCAACCCCTATACAAAGTCCAAAAGTCCAGGTCAATCTTACACAAAAGTTGCTACCAGTGCTGAAAAGTATTCAGTTGTTAAAACATAGACAAAAAAAAACGTGAAACACCTGGTTTATTCAGCAAGTATTTTAATATTCAGACTCATACTGACGCCAATGGGCTTACGCACACTGTACTCAGCAGAAACTACCCCATCCTTCAAGGAAGTCTTCTTCCCTGCAACCTTCCCACAAAAGAGAGTACAAAAGTAGACTGCAGTAGTCTCATGATATCATCAGCATTTCAAACCTTAACATGTTTGCTGCCATGAGATTTCCTGAGACAATTAAGGCTTCATCCAGTTATATGATTTGTATGAGACAGAACACCCACAAAGGCATCTCCCAAGCTGCCAACCAAACAGGATGGCAGCTTTCAGAAGTGCTTGTGATGGAGATTACATGCTTTGCACGTTCAAAAAATTTTTGGGACATCATGAAAAGCTTTGGCTATGACTTGCTGTGTCTGGAAATTGATATGCTAGTGGTGCTCAGGTAGTAGGACAGCAATACCTAGGGCCTGTCCTCCTTTACTATCCCATTGATCCAGTCCAGATAGTTGAGGATCTTGGTGTAGAAGCCATAGCCCGTGCCACAGCCGATTCCCCACGAAACGATGCCGGTAGCCACCCAGCGACCGCTTTCCCTGTCCAACACCGTGAGGACGCTCCCGCTATCCCCCTGGCAAGTATCCTTCTTGCCTTCCAGGAAGCCAGCACAGAACATGTTCTCAGAGAAAACCATTGGGATACCTTTCTTGTTACTGTCTAGCCAACTCTGACACTTCTCTTGAGCCACTGCTGGTAGGCTCACGTACTTCAAATCGCTTGAGATGCGGTTCTTGTCCACACCAAAGCCGCTCACGTAGCCCATGTGCCCGTGGGCGTAGAACGAGGTGTTGGTGGCATCTGGGAGACAGATGGGCAGCAGTGTAGGGCCCAGGGTTACTGGGTTTTTCAGCTCCAGCAGGGCTATGTCCCCGTTGAAGTTGTGCTCATCTTTAGGGTTGAAATCCGGGTGGATAAAGATCCTGCGCACAGGGTGGTTACCCATCTTGTGGAGCTCGTCTACGTTGGTGTGGCCGAGGAAAATGTCAGCCTCCTCTGCCAGCTGCTCCAGGCTCACATTGTTCTGTACTGCTCCTTTGGGGAAGATGGTGTGGGCAGCAGTCAGGATCCAGCGATCGCCCAGGAGGGCACCACCCCCTCGTCCATTGATGCCAGTCAGAGCCTGCCAAGGAAAATTGCCTCTCTTTGCTGCTTTGCCACCCAAGATCCTCTGGACTTCAAAAACGGGATGGACTGGCTTCCCACACACTGTGGAGAAACACAAGAACATGACACCTACCCTCTGTCATCCTGGCTTTTCTCTCTCTTTCCTCACCATCACTGTTTGATTTCACTTTATTTTGGCTTTCTGGACAGTTTTACCTTTTCCCTCCCAGATATCGCTATTCTCACCCCCCTACCTGTATGCTGTCCCACTTTTGTACTGATTGTAAGCATGAGTCAGAAAATACTAGGTGAAGTCAGAGTTTTTACTGACCTGGCAAGCAGGATGGAATTCTCTTCTGGCCATCTTGATCCAGCCAGGTTCCCTCAGGAGAACAGGTGAATCTTTCTGTAGGATGAGAGGGAAGGGAATGAGACCCAGGCCTGCAGGCATGGGGTGAGAAAATAGAATGGAATGGAATGGAATGGAATGGAATGGAATGGAATGGAATGGAATGGAATGGAATGGAATAGAATAGAATAGAATAGAATAGAATAGAATAGAATAGAATAGAATAGAATATTTTCAAGAGGTTCGTAGCCCTTCCATCCCAAAGCATCTTTCCTGGGAGAAGCTGCCTGTGGTAGAGTGTGAGATGTTTCTGTCCATACATTTTGAAGCAGGACCTCAGTTCCAGGGGAGCAGTAAAGCTGCAGTAAAGCAGGCACTATAGAAGAAAAGGTTGAAGGGCCATCTGCGTGAAGTCTTATCTTCACTGGGTCCACAGGTGTACAGAGCACTGTTTGACCTTATTTAGCTCAAAGAAGAGAGAGAAGTAGTAAAAGCATGGATTTTAGATTCAAACTTCTGGTGTTGGTAGTTTGCAGGGAGTAGGACAAGGTGGTTTGTCCCAGAAATGGGAACCAGATGAGTCAGGTGCTGTACATGATAAGTATCTATTTCTGAGCCTAAGTTGCAGGTCAGCTAAACTTGACTGTCACCTCTCAACACAAACTCTACTACCTCCAACACTCTTGCTTTTCTTAGAAAGTTTGTGCTGGCGACTAAAAATAAATTTTGTACAATTTGTCTTAATGCTGAAGTAAATGCTTCTGAGAAAGTGTTTGCTGTTGTCTTTTAAAATGGATTAAATTAGGATGACTCCACACCAGAATTTGGCTGCAGCTGATATTTGCTTGCTCCTGATTTTTCTTCTGATGAGACTGACCTCTGAATTTATATGAAGGAGTTAAACTCAGATGCAAGAATAATCAAGTTCAACATTAATACCAACTTAACTCTTGAGTAGCATGTCACCTCTCTCCAGCACAACCGTGCATCTATGCTGGTAACTGTATCCAGGAACTGATTCAGATTAATTTTTTTTTCCTTGTGGAGGCTAAATGAGCAACCAAGGCAAGGAAATAATGAACTCCTTATGCTGTTCTTGGGATCAAAGGTCCTGCGTCATCAAGCGATGTCTCAGGTGTAAAAAGAACGAATGTGAATGGTTTGGAATGATGACTTAAGTTTTCTGAGGTGCTGCATTAAAATAGCTTTTTCTGCAAGTATGTTATTTAGCTGTTAGATATCTCTGCAGCTGAACAATATTCCAAAGAGCTAAACCGCACTGCACTGGAGCAGAGTGTGTGTTTATTTATTTGCCTCTGTAGCAACTCAGACTGATGCAGTGAGTTTTGTGAATTTTGGTGATTCCCAGACACCATGCCTCAAATTTCAGTGAAAGAATGCAATCCACCAGAAAAGAATGAAATCTGCTAGGAAAGAAAAAAAAGAATTGCAACTCTAGCTGAGAGAATATGACCTTTGGCAAAAGTTAAGGGGAGCATGGAAGAGGGATGTGATGGGCTCTGGGAATGAAGCAAGGTGGGAATAGGCTGAGACAAAAAGACTCCAGCAATATGCTGCAGGGTCAAGAAAAGACTGGAGTCTTCACAGGAGGCAACCATGAGCCCTAAGCTTGGGGAGAAGAGCCGATTCTAATTGAAACGTGGGAGGGCTTTCCAGGCCCAGGTGTATTACAGCAACACAGGTGTCCGTGTGTGATCAGGACTCACCGCCACCCGTCCCGGTGACGATGTGATAATAGGGCTCATTGCACTGGTATGCAATCACCGACTGGTACTCATTGTTTGCAGGCTCCTTAAGGTAGCTGAATGCACCATTGGTCACGTTTTTGGGGCTGCCACAGTTCACAACTACAACAAAAGGGAAAAAATAAAACATGAATCAACAGCAGACTGACTGCAAGTCTGGGCATTGGGGCCAGGATGTGAAGGACCACTTAGGACAGTGGGCAAAAGAGGTTGTCCCAAAAGAGATCCCAGATTAGGATCTTTTGCTTTTAGATATTGCAATATCATAGTAATTTGGGAGTGATATTTAGGTATTTTTGTAAGGGAGGAAAAACATTTGAATTTTTTGCAAGAAGAAAAATGTGAATCAATGTTGGACCTCCATAGGTTCTTCAGACAGCACATCCATGAGGCTATGGACTAAGTGAGTCAGAGAGGCTGAATTTCCCACATTCCTGGAGCAGGAAAGCCCCAGCAGAGGATGTTATTCCCGTTCTCAGATCACTCACCTTCACAGCGTGGCATGGGTTGATGCCATGTGCCATCAGCCTGGCAGACAGCCGTGAAGGACATCAACTTTTTTTCACCCTACATGGGAGAGAAAAACATCTGTTGGTTGTACAGAGCCCCTAATTCCTTCCCCACATTTAAATATTATTCTGTGTGCCCATCTTTTCACTGCTGTCCAATATCTGCCCCTCTGCAGTCTGTTCCAGTTGCTGTCTCCTCTTTTCCCTCTATCCTGTAATTGCCACGGGCTACACATTCTTCATAGCAGGCCAAGATGCCAGCAGCCAGCAGGTATAAACCCACAATGAGTCAGAGGTGCTACCCAGCCCTGGCAATAGAATGGCAAGGGAGGCAGGTAACATTTGCTTTCATCTTCTGGTTTCATATCCTTCCAAAGAGGTGTTCTTGTCTACCTTGTCTAACTTTTCCTGGGATCTTTGTCTTTAATCTTCTACCAGGGCTTCATGAAAGAGTAACTGCATAAGGAAGAGAGCTAAGAAAAGAGAAACCACTGGAAAAAGCTGAGAGAAGCAAAGAAGAAACAGAAAGGACAAGAGGTTGCCACGAGTGAAATCTCCAGAGAAGTTCAACCAAAAGTGAAAGGCACGAACAGAAGTCAAAAGAGAATAGGGCTGAAGGGAGTGGAGAAGGGATCTCACCTCCATCAGGTGATAGCCAGTCTTGCAGCTGACAACAACATAGTCCTGAAATTGGTACACAGGCTGCAGATCTCTGATGATGGTGAACTGATCCCGTGGGACAGGCTGTGGGCACCGTATTTCTGCGAGACAGTGGGACAGGTTAGGCTGGCATTAGCAAACAGTGTCAGTGGGCTGTAGTAGCCTCTGCGGGAGAAATCCCTTACTCTCTGAGGTGTAGTGGATCTTCCAGCCACGGCTGAACCCTGAGTCATCGGTGAGGAAGAGTATGTCCACCTCATTGCTGTTGGTTTCAATGATGCCAGGTGGTTTCCTGCCACAGAATTCACCAATCTCTCTCCCTCGGGCTTGGATCTGATGAGGAAAACATGTATCACAGGGAGAGAAACAGAAACACACATGCCTCTCTGCCTCAGAATGCCTGTTTCGACCCAGAGCAAATTTACCAGAGTGCCTGTGATGGTGAATAGGGCTGGTTGTCAGACCCACCTTTGCTGATGCCTTCACTAACAGATCAGAACTACAGACTGACCCAGCACAAGCTCTGCTTCTCCCTTCTCTGGGAATCAGAGCTATCAGTCCCTGAGATTAAATCAAAAGGAAATTAAACTGGAAGAAGGATGGGTTCTTTTCCTTCACTCACAGGGGCCTATGACCCAGAGCCTCTGACCTCAGGACAGTGGTAATTAAATGCACTGAGGGAGAGACAGTGCTGGGGCATTCGTGCTGGGGCATTCTGCTTGTGCTGATCCCATATTTCTCGTCTTAATAGTGGTGTCCCCACAACTCCTGGCCGGGTCTGGCAGCAGGGTTGGGAGGAGAATTTGCGAATCTCAGTACCTTGAGCTGGTCATAAGGACAGTGGACTTGCTGGTGATCATCAATCTCAAAGGGTTCCAAGAACCTGAGGGTGATGGACAGGCCCTCCTGCAGACGGATGCTGTAGTTACACCGGAGGTACTCGGGGTAGGGCTGCGGGTACTCGGGGCTGCTCAGGTACCCAGAGGTCTCCGTGAACAACTCACTGCTGCACTCCACTGTGAAGAGGAGGAAAGGACAGGTCACATCGTGGGGATGTGCCTCCTGCAGCCCCGCCATCTGCTTCCTAAGTCACTTCTCCCAACCTGCCTGCTCCTCTGATCTTATAAAATTTCTCTTTACCTTTGCAGGAGTGCTGGTCACTCTGAAGCTGGTAGCCAATCCGGCAAGAACAGAAGTAGCCACCCACATAGTTGTGACAGAAGTGCTGGCATTGAGGCCTTTCATTGTTCTCGGCAGCATTGTTAGGATCACATTCATCCAGATCTGAAGACACAGGAAGTCAAGGGGCAAGGGGAAGAAAGTGTTAAACCTCCCTGCTCTACAGTGCTTAGAGATCCATATCCTTGCCTGAAGCTTCTCTATTTGCCTGGCAAGGAGGGAAATTGGTTGGAGCCACATAGGCTTTTCCTTCTGCATGCCGAGGGTATTTCCTACTCACCCACAGCTCTGTAGGATGCCAGGAAGCCCCTGTAGGGAATCACTGTGCCGTTGTCTTCATTGGAGAAATCAGAGTGAAATTGCAGGTGCATCTTTCTGCCCTTAGATACAAACTCCTTTCTTCCCGGGTGATTGCCTGTGGTCGACCCAAGCCGGCCACAATATCTGCCCAAGTCCTTCTTGTCTGCTTTGATCTGTCAAAGTTAAGGTGAAATCAGCGCAGCCTCAAAAAATTGAGCCTGCTCCACACACTGATATTACCCAACCATGAGTTGTCACTGTTTGCTCCTCCCATTTCTACCTTTAACTCCTTCCCTTTCCTTCATGGGAAGCATCACAGGAGGAGTCCTGGTGGATGGGGAGCCATTGCACTTGGTGACCCCTGGGCTGCCATCTCCAGGCACCCCCTGGCCCAGGAGTCTGTGCACGTACCTTAACATAGTCGTAGAAGCAGGACTCAGATGGCTCCAGGTCAAAGTATTTGAAGGTCAGCTTCACCACATAGCCTTTTGGGACCTGGATATCCCAGCTCCTGGTGTTATCATTGGGATATGGCTTGGGATAATTGGGGGATCTGATCTCCCCAAAAAGGGGAGAACCTCTTGGGACAGGACTGGAACCAATCACTCCAAAAAAGAGGAAGGCCCATGGGAGACAAGGAACATGCCTGTGAACACGACAAATAAACGATGACATTGCACAAAATTAGGTCATTCAAAATCAGGAGAGACTTCACAACTGATTTGTGCACTGTCCAGAGGAATGCAAACGCAGGAAGCCTGGTTGCAGAACCAGCTCCTGGCTTGGATCACTCAGGAACAAGAAGGGCAGCTGAAATGAAGACACCAGCACTAACAAGGTTCCAGCAAGCCATTGTACTAGCCTCTACAGAGAAATTCATTATCCCAGGAAGCAGCGTGGAGGAGCATGGGTGAATTCCCTGAGTAAGGTCTGCATGTCCCCAGAAGCTGTAGGGCTGATTCTTATAGAACCAGGAGAAGGTTGGTCCCCCTTGATCCTGGGCCAGTGAGTTGTTTTGGGTTATCACTAGTTTAGGATCCTTGGCCAGGATCTGAAGATCTCAAGCTCCGTTTGCTGTGGAGCAATCCTGCCAGTGTCTCCTGGGCAGCCCTCTCGCCACTCATGCCTCCAAAAGTTGGCACTCACATTTTCTATCTCTCATTGTGCGCATCTCCCCCCTCGCCCTCCGTGTTCCTCCGGAACAAGCTCACTGCCCAGCGCACCAGCTCAGCCCCGTTGTGCTACTCTCCTCCCTGGAAAAGTCTGAGCCCCAGGACCCCCACCCTCCCCCAGGGCTGTGCCCCTGCCCGGAGCCCGACTCACATCTCCGTGCGCTCCCGCTGCCCGTGCAGCCCAGCGGAGCTCTGAGCGGCGGCCGGCGGGGAGCCGGGGCGGGACCGGGGCAGGAGGAGGAGGAGGGAGCTCGGGAGGCAGGAGCGGGGAACAGAAAGCGGGACTGCGAGCAGCCTGGCCCCGGACCAGGCCGGTCCTAGCGCCGGCTCTGCTGCCCTCTGCTGCCGAGCGCCCCGGGCCCGGCCCGCCAGCACCGAGCCGGGGGAGCCCCGGGGGAGTCCCGGCCTGGCCACGCAGGCAGAGCCGAGAGACCTCTCCTGGCCCTGGAGGCAGGAAAACGATTGCCTGAGACCCCTCCGAGGGCTTAGTCTGCTATCCAGGATCTGCTCCGAGTTTGTTCCCGCCGAAAATGTCCTCCTCCAAAGACACCCCCCAGTCCCCCCGGGCTCTTTTTTGGTTTAGAAAGATGAGAAAATTTATAGTCTTCACAAGTTAGTTCAAACTTTAAAAAAATCAAGCTGAAATGAAGCTGTCAAAAAAGATAAGTTTTCTCAATTCTGACCTGCTGAAGAGCACTTCTGAGATTTCTGGGGGGTGGGAACTGGGATCACCCTCAAGGAAAGCAAGAAGCCTCAGGCACTTGAGTTAAAAAGATATTAAGAAAAATGAAAGTCTACAGAATTAAAGGCATTCTGAGAACAAATCCCTTTTCAAGGACCCCTCTTGATGTTTCTTCTGCAAGCATTTTTAGGAGAACCAAGATAGATAGATAAGGCCCTCTATTTAATGGGGAAATGAGAAAATATAGCAACTTGAAAACCCCTTTCAGGCTTTTAACAACATAGTGCCCAAGACATGTATTTATGTCCCCAGTTTTATGAAGTTTAAAATTTCTTGGCTTTCAAGCTTTGGTGGAAGAGATAAAACACCATTTTAGTGTTTTTCCTTGGAATTATGAGTGGCTTCTGAGAGGTTAGGAAGTGTCTTGCATTGAAATCAGAGGAAGTAATTCACAGCCACAAAAACATGTTGAATGAAGATGAAAATAGTGTTAAAAAGAATGAAGAAAGCAGCTTTGGGATATTTATGGAAGTGTACAAGAGAACCTGTTCATCAAACATATTTGAATTATTTTCCCAAAAAGATGACATAAACATATAATTAATGCCACTGTTATAATACCATATGGCCCCACATATCAGATTTAAGATTAAAGAGGGAACATTATCCTAGTACTTCCTGATGTCCTCTGCATGATGAACATACTTGGGCAGGCTCACAGGCTCATGGCTGTGCTGTGCCATGCTGGAGCGGTTTCTTACTCAGAAACCACACCTGGAAAGCAGTGGGAAGAGTGTTCTCTGGGAAAGTACGGACAGACAGACAGACAGCCCTGGGGATCCTTTGTGGAAGTGGATAATTTCGCTGTGTCCTTGACAAGCAATCCTCTATCCAGGGGGCACTTACTGGGAGTGTCCTGTGGCACTTTCAAAGCACATCTGCCGTGTCCTCAATGCCTTTTACCGTCCCGACAGCACCATCTGGGACGACAGGAGACGAGTTCAGCCGGTGAAGCAGGGGGGTTGGCTGGGGACACATCCAGCCCGAGCAGCGCTCCCCTGACACACATCCTAGAGCCCGCCTGGCTGGGACAGCACAGCGGCACCCTCAGGGCAGCTCCAGAGTTCCCACTGCTGGCCTGCCCTGCTCCGGGCAACCCTCTTCCTCCTGCTGGGCTGGGGCCAAGAAATAGCATGGTTTTTCCTTGGAAGGACATATGTGCCTATCTTTGCTTAGGGGCAGAATTCCTGTAGGACCACGGAATATATGTAGGACCACAGAATGCCAAAACTGGCCCCTGTTTGCTGCCTGTGGGCCTCAGCTGCATCACAAGTGCTCTGGACAATAAATACAGACAATATCAGAGAAAAGTAAAAAAACTGTAGATCTTCAGCACGGTCAAAGATGCCAACATCCTCTTATAGAGCAAGAACCCTGCTTTGAATACAGTGTCTTGCAGGAGGTCGTTGGAAAGAAATCTGCTTTACAGACTCAGAAACCATGAAAATATCTTCTGGCATGTGGACTAGATCCTCTTGTCCACAGTGAAGAAGGAGTTGGGTATTTTATCCTCAAGCCTGAGTCAAGGAGGACAGAGAATTACCTCTGTTTGGTCTCTTGCAGCTATAGCACCTACCCTAGAACACAGCAGGGCTGCACACCCAGTCTCACCTCACTGAGCTGCTTCCCCAGGGCACTCTACATTCAACCCTGTTGATCTGACTACTCAAAGTACCCAAAGGCTTGGCTGGAGCCCTCTGGGGACACTGCCATTGGGCTTGGCCTTCACACAGCCAGGCCTGTGAGAGAGTGGCTCTTTCAGACAAATCATGCTGCTTCTGCAGCTCTGGCTGGTAGGGAGAGGATGACCAAGACCAAAAGAAGGTTCAGGACTCAAACAGTGGATCTTTCCCCTGATATGAGATGGTGAGCAGCAGAAACAGCACCTTGGCAGTCTATTTCTGTGTCTTCTAAATCAAGGAGCAGAACCAAGCGTAATACCCTGAGGGGTACACAGTTCTGCAGCACCAGCCACTCACCAATATCACACCTCCTCCCACCTGAGTCCTCCCAATATCACAACTTTCCCCTGCTTTACAGTGGCATCCTCACTTCCCATAGCCTCATGTCTCAGCAATGCAGTTCTGTGGGGTAAAGTCACCATCTGACTTAGGCATCACACCTTTCATGATTATGAAAGGAAAAACTGAATTATTAATGCTGGTAGTTACTACCTGAAGGCCTAGAATATGTTGCAGTACTATCCCCTATGATTATCATTAGTGTGGGGACCACATCAAATGAGTAATGACTCTTATCTCTGGTTCTGGCCCAATCAGATGATTCCTGAAGAAGAGAGGCTGTCATGGATACATGATATCTGGCAATGAGTCAGAAGTAATCTACTTGGCCTATCACCTCACAGGAAAATTACATGGATGGCAGAAGAGTCTGGCTAATCACCTAAAGGCAATAGTGTCTGCCATCCAACCAGAATGAAGGGTCAGAAGAGGAGAGTTTGTACCAGCTTGTGTTGCAGGGCCTGGAATGAGCAGATTAGTTGTTGATCACACAGTCTGGAAGATGCCAGCCTGGACATGGTGAGGTGGGCTCAGGGCTGCACATCAGGAGCAGCTCTGAGGGCGTTCTCGTGGCATGGAAGAGTGCAAAGAAGGCAGCAGTGGAACCAGCTCCAGCTGCTGTCTGCCTTCTGCAGCTTCATGGTACAACAAAGGTCATGTAGAGGTTCCCTGTGGTAGAAGGAGTGATGGGCTGAGGAGGTCTGCACACAGCAGGCATACTGGATGGCCTGGCCCTGGCTGCTCACCGGCTTTGATTGTGGTGCCCAAATTGTGGATTGTGGATACTGACAGGGTGCTCCTGCCTCACATGTCCCCAGATACAACCATAAAGAGTCAGAGGTTGACACTGTAGGCACAGCTGCAGCTCCCCAAGCCCTTGCCTATCACATGTTCTGAAGTAATGCTTTTCTCATGGCACTCATCTTCGCAGTTTCCTGAAAAGAAGCTCTTCAGAAAACACTATTTTTAAATGATTGCCAGCAGAAAAAATAAAGGGCTTATATTTTAAAAATCTGCCAATCTCTTGGCTCTTTGTGGTGTCAGTAGTTGCACATTTTTGTATACCCTGTCTTTCAACCTTCTGTTGGGGGGCAACAGAAGGTTATTTTTCAGGAATAACCGTCTGTGGACTTGTGCCCAACCCATAAAGTGTCATAATTAAAGAACAGCCCTCTTTGTGGCATGGGTCTGGGTTTTCAGGGGACCTCACCTCCTCTGGTTGTGCCCCTTGGTCTCCAACTGCAGATAGCTGTGGACCAGAGGATGGTTGTGAGGAGACCCCGCCAAGAACGCCAGAAGGAATGCTGGGGCTAGAGAGGGGGCTGTGGTTTCTGACCCCACGAAGAGATCCTGACCCTTCCTCACCCACGGGACCTTCTCAGGAAGGTGAACATGGGGCTGAGTACTCCAGCCAGCCCTCCCCCTTCACACCATCAAGTGAGAATCCTAGACTCTGAAGGACAAGTTCTGATCCTACCCATCCTGCTTGAGGATCCCAAAAAGCTGTGGCTGCCCCATCCCTGGAAGTGCTCAAGGTCAGACTGGATGAGGCTTTAAGCCACATGATTTAAGTGAAATGTCACACAATCACAGAATCATTTAGGTTGGAAAAGACCTCCAAGAGCATCAAATTTAACATTTGATCGATCATCAACCTTTTCAAAGAGACCATGGCAGCAAGAGCCACATCCAGTCATTTTGTGAACACTTCTGGAGATGGTGACTCCACCACCTCCTTGGGTAGTCCATTTCAATGAAGGAAAATTTCTTCTGAATTCTAGGGGAGGCCTGGAACTAAATGATCTTTAACATCCTTACAACCCAAGCCATTCCATGGTTCTATGATCCTACGATCCCAGGAAGAATGCAGCATCCCCAGAGGACCAGAGAAGACGGCAGGTGATGCCTGCAGAAGCAGCCTGAGCTACCCCTGCCCACTCGGGCACCGACCCCCAAGTCCCGGCGGGCACGGCGGGGTCCGGCCGCGGTGGGGCGGCGGGAGGAGCGCGGGAGCTGCGGGGCCGGGCCGGTGCCGGGGCAGCCCCCGCCCCGCTCCTCCCCGAGCGCTCTTATTCTGAAAGGAGACTCCACGCCGCCGGCGGCCCAGCGCTCCCGCCCCGGCCCGTCCCGCTGCCCGCCTCCCGCTGGCGCCGGCCCGGCCCAGCCGTGACCCCCGGCCGGCCCGGCCGCCGCTGGCCGGTGGGCGAGGCTCAAGAAAACACGCTGCTACGGGGGGGCTCGGCTCGATCGGGTCGTGTTTCTTTTTCTTTCTCGCACTGGGGAGCGCGGGTCCCGCCCGGGCATCTCTGCGGGAAGCGTTCACTTCACCTTCTGGAAAACCTGGACGCAGACCTCGTCTTCGGCAGTCATGCGCTGGGAAAGGGGAGGCAAGAGAGGAGTTTAGGTTGGATCCCCTCCTGCCTCTCCCCAGTTCTGCCAGCCCTCCCGCTGCTGGCTGGAGCCCTCCCAAAGCCCCTGCGGGTCTGGCTGCAGGGCAGGGAAGGGACATCGCCTTTGTGGAGCTGTTGAACTTTTGTGTTTAACTTTTAAACCCTGGAGGCGGATGTTTGTGTGCAGCGGTGGCTGCCCCCCGCAGAGCCGGGGATGAGGTCTCAGAGAAGGGGAAAGGAAACTGCAAGGCCGGCTCAGAGCCAACAGCGCCCACACTGTGTCCCCCCACTCGCTGTGACCGGGATTTTGCAAGCTGCAGCGGACCCCTCCTCACCAGATGCAGCTGGTCCCCCTCCAACCAGTGCCTCCAGCCGCGGTTCCTCTTCTCTCCGAGCTGCTCGCACACCAGCTGATCCCCCTCCCAGGACACGGTCGTCTGAAGGGAAGGAGACGGGAGACATGGTCCTGAACAAATGGATCAGTGTAATACCTGTTTCCAGCGCTGACACTGGCTGTTCCTCTCCGACACAATGTCAAATGCAGTCCCTGATCTGGTGTCTCTTTAGTGGCTCCTTGGGACAGATGGTCTTTGTTGGAGGTGAATGACCCTCTGGCTTCCAAGTGCAACAACAGAGTTCTGCCAAGTGGTCCGGCCAGTGATTCTATCTTTTCAGGGCTTTGCTCCAGAGGATAATATCCTCCGGATCCCAGAGAACTGGTTTCTGGCTCTCTGCTGCTCATTCTCTTGGCAGTGAGTGATTTACTCATAGAACCACTTACTCCTGGACCTGCAGAGGCATGCCAGCTCTGGGCTTGGTTCTCACCTGGGTATTGAGTCAAAAAGCTGAGCAAGTCCCTAAACTCTTTAGCACACCCCCGTCCCCTGTGAAACTGCACTGCTTGGCTTTCTCACCTGGCACTTGCGTCCATCCACGGGTCCCAGGTCTTCCTCAAACTGGACTCCCACGTCGAAATCCATAACATAGTCCCGCAGGGAGGTGATGGTGCGGATAACCATGTGATCTCCCGTGTGGATAATCTCTTTGTCCGGCTTCAGTAGGCAGACCAGCTTTCGCAGGACCACGTTGATATCTACAGGATGAGAAAGAGGGGAGATGTGCGGAAGACCCGGGCCCCTCCTCCAGCAGAGCTCCTCCACTTTTTTAGCCAAGGAGCATCAGCCATAGTACCTCTTTTCCTCTCCTACCACAGCGCAAAAGTGGTGGTAGGAGACGAAGGACCAGAAGGTTCCCAGTTCCCTTCCTCTTTCCCCTTTCCGACTCTTAACTTTTTGGAGATACGGAACTAAAGGGGAGGAGGGAGCGCGATGGGGAGGGGAGCGTTACCTAAAGCGCGCAGGTAATTGTCCATGTTCTCTTGGGAGACGAAGCGGTAATAGCCGGTGAGGTTGGGAGGCATGCCGGGGCACAGGGACGCGGCGGACGGTGCGGAGGAAGGAGCGCAAGCAGCCGGGCAGCAGCGGGGCCGGGGCCAGGCTGTCTCTCTGGGCGGGCCGGTGGCTGTCCCGCGGCGCGGAGTGGCCCGGTCCCCGCGCCCCCCGCCGCAGTAAGAGTCCCCGCTCCGGGGGGCGCGGAAAGGGCCGGGACGGCCCCTGCTCCAGCATCTCCGCCTCGCCTGGGCAGGACGTAGGGACGGCGGGTTACCTCCTCACCCTCTGCCCTCCTCCGGGGCTGCCCGTGTTAAACTCTGGACTTCCAACCAGCGGCAAGGAGCCCGCCCTCTCCAGCCCCTCCACACACCGTGGCGCCGGTGGATGCGAGCTTCGTCGGAGCAGTGCCCCGGCCTGCGCTCCCCACGGTGCGGACACCCCGTCGAGGAGAGGCGGCGGCGGCAGCTCCGCCCTGCCCAGCCCGAGCCGGGGCTCCGGGTGCGCTCTGCAGCCCCTCGCCCCCGCATCCCCCCCGACCTCCACGCCCTCCTCGTCCCGGTGTCGAAGCTTCCCCCCTCCGCGGGCAGGCGCCCGCAGCCGTCGCCGCGCTCCACGGACAGCCCGGCCCGCAGTGGCGAGACGAGGAGCGGCCGGCGCGCCCCGCCTGCATCCCGATCCCGCATCCTGGTCCCGCATCCCGATCCCGCATCTCGGTCCTGTATCCCTATCCCGCATCCCCATCCCGTATCCCAGTCCCGCATCCCGATCCCGCATCCCGGTCCCGCATCCCCATCCCGCATCCCCATCCCGTATCCCAGTCCCGCATCCCGGTCCCGCGGCACCTGGCGGGCGGCCGCGCGCATTGGCTGCGCCCCCCGCCGCCCGTGACGTCATGCTGCAGTGCGAGGCGGGGCCGGGCGGGGCGCGGAGCCGCTGCCGGAGGTGCCGCCGTCCCTGCGCGCCGCCGCCGCCGCGGGAGCGAGGGCGTGGGTCCTGCCGGGACCCGCCGCCGCCGCCGCCATGGGCGACCCTCGGCCCCACGCCGCCGTCCTCCTCCCTCTGCTCTGCCTCTGCGCCGCGCTGCCCGGCAGCTCCTCCAACAAAGGTGAGCGGCGGAGCGCCGCGGGCACGGTCCGGGCGGCGGCGGGCGCTCCGCTGGGACCCACCGGCAGCCCCCGCCGAGGGGCTCTGGAGGGACACGCTGGCCGGGGCACGTCCATCCGCCCCCGCGGTGGCGGTGCGGCTCCGCGCTGCCCGCCGCCTTCGCCCGACACGTTTTTGTCGGGGCATCTCCGCGGTCCCCCGCGGCCCCGGCTTTCTTCGCCCCTTCGGGCGCTCTCATGCCATCCCATCTCCATTCTCTACTTTGTCCATCTGTCATCCTACCACCGCTTTTTTCTCCATTCTTTCGTCTCCTGGCGCTCCCCTCGCGTTTTCCCCTTTTCCACCCACTAGTCATGCTTTTGTTTAGTTATCACTGGGTGGATTTAGATTCCCATCCCTTCCCTAGCATGCTGAGAGAGAATATGTTGTTTCTCCACAAACCCCTGCAGTTCATAAAACACATTCCCCGGCTCCATCTTCCAGTCCTAGTTCATCCATCTACAATCTGTCAGTAGGAACTGTTTATGCATAGTTATGCGTTAGCAATGCAGACTGATTTTATGTATTTCATGTGATAAAGATGAAAGACCCCCAAAGCACCCCAGCGCTACAGCTGTAACCTTCTGAATGCAGATGTTCTTTGAGCACACAGAGTGATGGAGAAAGGTGTAGGTTTCTGGTAGATACAAGCCTGGGAGATTCATCCGAGGGCAGTCAGCGTGTTGGTAATCTCGCAGGGTGGGAAAATCTGTGAACATTTGAGGGACGCTGGGCTCATCGGGGAATGTGACACCTTAGGGTGCTTTCCGTGCCTTGGAAGAGTCAGGGCTACGGGCGGGTGCGCCGCAGAGCTGTGTGCACCCTGACATTGGCAGGGGCATTTGTTTGTTCTGCTCTGCTTCCATGGGGCTCGGTGGCAAGGAAAGGCCCCTCACACTGGATTCTCCCTCTCCTTTGTGAATTTGCACTCGGAAACACCTACTCACCTTTGGCAAATTATATTAGATTGACGGGAGCTTTCTTGAAGCTGGTAGGAGTCTGTATCCTGGTAGGAGTCTGTATCCTAAAAATATTCCTAAAATGTTTTTCTGTTCTCTAACAACTCATTTCCCGAGAAATCAGATTGGCGATCCCCAAGTTGCAGGTGGATGCAGCAAAGGATTTATCCCTGTACCATCAGCTTGTTACCCCAGCAACAGGGCACATTTGGCATTTATAGCTCTGGATCCCCACCTCGGCAGTGTGGCGCATGGATAGAGCCGGAGCAGAATGGAATCCGGTGGGGACAATGGGCGGGCAGGGGGAGCCGCGGGCACTTGCACACAGGGAGGATTCCACCTGCATACTGAGCAGGATGGATGTTGCTCTGGATTTCCTACGCAATGCTTTATAATCTCAGTCGATACGGTGGTGGAGAAGTGCCAACCCATGCTCTTCGCTGCCACTCCAGGCTGGATCTGCCCTGCAGGGACATCCCCTTGCTGACCTGTCACCCTGCCTGCTGCCCCCCAGCCACCCCTGGCAGCCCCCCTGGCCCCAAAATGTACAAGTGCTTGATTGGTTGCACAGGATGCTGCCCCTTTTGAGCCAACACACGAGGCCATGCCAGGATGGCCTTTCAGAGGACACTGTGCTGCAGAGGATGGATTCAACATATTGGAAGTAGTGCCCTTGAGGGGGATGGCTCTGTATCCTACTCCCCACCAGCTCTGAGCCATGCTGTGCTCAAAGTGTTGCTGGTTGTAATAAATCTTGGTCTCCAGGGGGTGGGAGAGTGGGGGATTATCTGGGAATGGGGGTTGTAACTAGGCCATGTAATATAATCTCCGAGGCCCATTTGGCAGGGAGTGGGCATGGGGGAGGGGTT